TTTCCGAATTGAAATTTAATGCTGATTCCAAATCTTGAAAGAAAAATAGGGTGTCCCGAGCTCGTTTTCGAGATAATCAGCATTTAATGGAAGTCTACGCACGAGCTTTTGGAGTAAAAATTCGCCATCGGAAGTGATAAGAAAAAAATTAAGATTCATAAGATAATAGTTATTTGCAGACTCTATGATTGCACGAATGAAGGCTAGTCAATCATTCTACAATAATACAGAGATATTTTCGACAAAAATACAAAAAAATACATTGATTTGTCATATTTTGTAGTTTCGGTGCCCTTAAAAAATCTCACAAAGTGGAACAAAAATCCCTACAAAAATCTATTTTTTCATGTGTTACTGATTTAAACTTTTTCTAAAATGTTTTTTCAAATGAGCTATTAAAAAATAGAGAGTCCCGTGCAAAATTTGAGGGTTTTGCCCTGTTGAAGCTCAAAATGCGTATGGTTCTTCAATAAAATCTTGTAGATTTTTCAGCGGTTTTTGAGCGCGCGCTCATCGTGGGCTCAATTCGAACGTTCAAAAGTAGGCAGCCACCTTAAGCTGTTTTAATTTTCCTAAGTTTAACAATGTAAATTAAACTCCTTTTATCCACATTTTACCGTTTCACAAAATCGAATTTTACGAAATGAGTCCTCATTTTGGGGAGGGGGACTTGACATAATCATTAAAAATTAAATGGCAGATATATACTACCGTCTCCCGTTGTAGTAGTTCTTATTATATGGTTTTCCTTCAAGTCAAGTACTTTTATATAAATATGCACGTTCCTGGTTTGTCTTAGTGCCAGGCTAAATTCCATGCAAATAGTAATTCCAGGGATGGAGGTTTGAAAAGATAAAAAAGAAGACAATATAGGGTTCACTGATTTTATTTCATAGATATGATATTTTGAGCCTCTCTTTCTTATATTTGCCCAACAAAACATTTGAATGAAGTCACCACGATGAGCACGCGCACTAAACTCATGCGTAGAAAGGCTGCGCGCGAACAATGCCCGTGAACGTTAAGATTTAGCRATATTTTCTAGCCGAACTACGCAAAATCCAACTCGATCTCTCCAGAAGAAGCTGCGTGGCAACAGATCGTCTCGAACTCGAGTTACTGTAGGAAATTGGACTTGAAAATGGATTGTTTTGATGATTATAAAATCATGGCATAAACGATTTTTCTCAAAAGAGATTTCACTGATTATTATAGTAGCTCTGTCAACTCTTTTGAAACTTAGCGACTAATTTTCACTTAGCACCTATAGTTACTAAACTAAACTCAGGTGTCCCAGTCTACCCTGCCCGTTGGGTCTTGCGCAATAAAATCTCACAATAGAGTGATGGTGGTGAATTCACATCAATTGTTTATTAATGTAACATCCTTTATTCATTTGATTATAACATTTCTTTGGCTTATATCATTATTATTATTCTAATAAAAGTTATGAAAAGCTTTGAACTCAAACCTTATGGAATACTCTTTGTCACTGATGATTATTACATATTATTAGCATTAGCTGTTGTTTAACGTTGTTTTTCAAAGACTTAATGCGAAGAAGAACGTGGCACGACTTTGTTGTTCGGGTTTTCGCCTTTGAAATCAAAAACCATGCAGTTGGAAGACCTTTCGTACCTGTAGCAGTTTCCATATATGTGGTTACACATACCTTCACCATTCTTAAAAATCTTTAAAAAAAAGAGAATGTCAGATATATTTGAATCTCGTCAAGATTCGTTGTTTAAGACCTGAACTGAGAATCAGCCAGTAACACACCACCCAATTACGCCCCAACACTACCCATGACACACAATAAACAAACTATGAAGCCCCATACACCACCCATGACACCTCATACACAAACCATGACACCCTATATACCACCCAGGACAACCAATACGCCACCCATGACACACTAACTACCCATTACACCCAATACACCATCCATGACACCTCATACACAACCCATGACACCCCATATACCACTCATGACACCCTATACACTATCAATGACACTCTATACACTACCCATGATACCTTAGACTATCCTTAACACCCCATACATTATCCATGACACCTCGTACACAACCCATGACACCCCATATACCACTCATGACACCCCATACAACATCCCACGTCCATGACACTCTATACACTACCCATGATACCCTAGACTATCCATGAAACCCCATACATCAGTAATGAAACTCCATATACCATCAAAGACAACAATATACAAGCCATGACAGTCTGTACACTACGTACCCATGACACCCCAAAAACCAGAAATAACTTCCAATTAGAAACTATGACACTCCGTAATGCCCATAATACAAGCCAATATACAAGTACATCAATTTTCATTTTTGAATAATAACTATGTTAACGCCATGATATTTTAGAGAAAATACTTACCTCGGCAAAGGTGCGACAAGGTCTGTCAGGTTTTATTGGACCCTTTGAATTGCGGTACAAAATGAAGTCATCCAGCCAGTTCTCGGAGTAAGTCTTGTCATTCTTGCAGGCTTCGAACATTTCATTGCAGGTATCAGTGCAGATGGGTACTTCATCGACCACACCATCAGATACCCCCCACTTGGCCAGGTTTGGATCGCAAAAGAATAGACATTGCATGCCCATAATATGGGTTTTGCATTGCTAAGAAATGATTTGACTGTTAGAAAAGTAAGAATTTATTGGATTTCCGTAACGAAATTTGTTCGTGTAGGATATTCTCGTTGGGGATAAATTCGGGATGAGGAGGCTTACGACCCCCCCCCCCCCTCCTTTCAATCCCTCCTTTTTTTGGCTGCATCCATTCTTTCCTTTCTTTATTCCTTCTTTTATTCTTACCTCGCTTAAACCACCACAGTAGTCCCAGTCAAAGTGGGATATATCTTTCTCGCCACGTTCCATCAGATCCACAGTTACTTCCGCTGAACAGCAAGATTCGTTTTGCCAGGGAAAACAAGTCGCAAAGCCTGTCTCTGGTGAAGGAAACATCTTGTGATGTACGCCTTCAAGACACTTCTCTTCAGTGCCTGGCATTGCAGACACAAGCTGGATGCTAAGGATTATTGCAATAACCAGTGCAGTTAACATCCTTTTTGATTCGTAGATAGCCGGGCTGTTAGCTTGCTGTTATCAGGTCACTCACTCCGCCGTACAACTGACTGGGTGTTTGCCAGAGATGTGAATCTTAAAGATACTAAAGGTGACGTGTAGTTTCTATTTTGCATCGCTTTTAATATCCATTCTTTTGTTACAAATAACTTCAGGCTAGAGTATCATAGGACAARTACTCTAACTGGACTTCTATTGACGTTAATTGCATATATTCTCAGGTCGTTGAATTGTATGACAAATTGTAAAGTGAGAGGTGTATCAAAACCTTATAAGTATAGTTAAGGACATAAAAAAAGAATAAAAAACGTTAACAAATGGCAGTCGTTTATCATCTTGTTCAGACAATACAGCCGTCTAACTGGTCCAAGTGTCTCTCCTTGAATCTCTTCATTGGTAATTAGCTCCTAACGAGACCTGTTGATGCTTTCCCTCTATTCAAATGCAAAATCAAAAATGCTGGTGACTGACCTTAACGGGTTAAATTTTTTAATCAAAAATTATTTCACATTTAACAGTTTCTATAATGGTCTTTCTTCAAGAAACCATATACCCTATGTTGAACCAATAGTGAGAATACTGCCAGATAGCTGAGCTGTTAGCTTGATGTTATCAGGTCACTTACTCCACACAAACTGAGTACAGTGTTGGTTGGCCAGAAATGAAGTTTACAAATACTAAAAAATTATTCCAGTGTTTTTCTATATTCATTCTCTTGTTAAATAACTTTAGGCTAGTATAGAGTATCATACGACAAGTAGTCTAGCTGGAATTCTATCGACGTTAATTGCACATTGTCCGAAATGAATAACTTGTTAACAATATATGAAAACAAAACCCTGAGGTTAGGGTAGACTGGGATACCTGTATACCTCTATAGCAAGGGTACTACCTACAGACGTTACAGCCATTCTCAATCACACGCGCCCTCTAGCGATTGTTTTTGTCGCGACTGTTAGATCTGAAAAGCCTTTAATGAGTTTTTAGTGTAGTTCTCTTTGTCTTTAAGTTTGTTTACAAGTGTTCTATAGCTTTTGTTTCGCTCGTTTCAGTCTAAGTATTTTCGTCATTGTTTCGTCATTTAGTCTTGTCCCTTAGGAGCTTTCGTACGCCTTATATACGCCCACTATGTAAATACTTAGTTAGTTGGTGCTCGCAGTTTCGTCCCTTCGTACACAAATGTAAGTTATTCGTTTCCATAGTTCTTATCGTTTTGCAGTTTAATGTTTCGTAGCTTTTCCTATTTGTCATACGTACTAAGTTATTTATCTATTTAATGTGTTTATTCAGTCTTTACCGTACGTTTTACGTATGTGTAAGAAATAAAATCAAGAGTATGRGACAAGCAGTGCCAACATCGTAAAGAATTTGTGTTTCGAGTCATGGAGAAATGGACCGTGCCTCAACTCAAGGAAGAACTCAAATTCTATGGTCTCAGTGTCAAAGGGAAAAAAGGCCAGTTGTTGAGCCGTTTAAGAGAGTTTTTTCGATCACAAGCATCGTCTTATGAACTACCTAAGCATGAAGTTAAAGCCAGAGTACGCAGTGATACCGTTGCTGACGACATTGATGCAGCCAGCCTGAGTAGTAAAGCAAGTAAATTCAGCAAAGCCAGTAAAAATATGTCATTGGTAAGTTCTGTATCCTCGGCCAGAGTGAAGGAAGCCGCTAGATTAGCAGAGCTACAAGCAGAAGCTGCCGCTTTAGAAAAGAAGCAAATCCTAAATCAAAARAGATTTGAGTTGGAGCAAGAGGAAGTCCGAATTAACTTGGAGACAGAAATTGAGAAAGTCAAAGCAAAAGATAAAGTACTTGCCGATATTGAAAGCAATAGAAATGCAGATGATGGATCACGTAAGTTACCATCCCTCGATGGAAGCATAAAAGACGAGCCAGCCTTAAAACCACCGCCCTTCTTTAAAAGATGCAACGACTGGTTACGACCCCAGAATACTGATGGAGAGATGGAAGATTCATTCAAGCCACAACTCAATTATGATAGTTCACGTCCGACCTATGACGACAGCAAAGAAACTATGAGAGATTTCATTAGTCTCCAGATGCAGCAGAAYGAAATGATGAAGCTATTCCACACGCAACAACAGCGTAGTACTTTACCTAACCTTCAAGTTCCTATGTTTGGTGGTGATCCACTAGAGTATCAGACATTTATACATGCCTTTGAAAGTCTTATTGAWGSTAAAACTACTAACGGCACCGAAAGACTCCACTACTTGGAACAGCATACCACTGGTGAAGTGAGAKAACTGGTTCGCTCATGCCACTTCATGGCTCCCCATTCTGGATATTTACACGCAAAACAGCTTCTGCAGAAGAGGTATGGAGATCACTATAGAATCGCATCCGCCTACGTAGAAACGGCTTTAAATTGGCCAGAAATCAAAAACAACGATGCCGTCGCTCTTCATAGATACTCCATCTTCTTAAATAGCTGCGTCAATGCCATGCAAGGGAACAAGTATTTGGATAAGTTTGAACACCCAGACAACATAAAGCGATTAGTCTTAAAGTTGCCATACAATATGAGAGACCGTTGGCGTCGTAAGGTAGACGATATCATGGAAGTTCATCAACAATCTGTCAGATTCTGCAACTTAGTAGACTACGTTAATCAAGAAGCAAGAATTGCCACTAATCCTATTTTTGGAAAGATCGTTTTACTAGAGACCCCYAGAGACAAGTCCCGGAGTACCAGTACCGTCAAGCCTAGTGTCAGACATAATCCTCTTACCGCCAGAACATCGAGTCTCGCCGTACAAGCCAAAGTTAACAGTACACAGAAAACCCACAAGGACAGCCACGATACAGATTCGCCTCAGAAGTGCTGCRTGTATTGTAACGCCTCGAACCACGAATTGGAGAACTGTAATGCTCTTAGAAGAAAGCCGTATAAAGAACGAATAGAATTTCTCATGAAGAAACGATTGTGTTTTGGTTGCCTTGCTGATGATCACACTGTCAAAGAATGCACCAAGAAACAAGTTTGTAGGTTTCCTGACTGCACTAAAAKTCATCCAGCTGTTCTGCATACCAATTSGATCAGAAGCAATCCTCCAGGTGATACTGGTGATCCTAACAAGAACGATCATGAACAATCATCAACCCGTGAAGTTAATGGTACCAAGAAGAATCTACAAAAGRTTCCCATGATCAACGCTATTCCCGTGACGAATACATGTATTAAGATTGCTGAAAACACATGCTCAACAGGGGCCGGTCAATCTAGTACAGGTATGGCTGTATTACCAGTTAAAATCAGACCAGAAGGTACAAGTCAGTTCATCATAACATATGCCCTCTTAGACAGTGGTAGTACCTCGACATTCTGTACCGAGTCTTTGATGAAGAATTTGAACGTTAATGGTAAAAAGACCAAAATTTCACTGACTACGTTAGGAAAGAAAGACGATCTGACAGATACTTTCCTAATCAGAGGTCTAGAGATTGCAGATATGGATGAGAATCACTTGATTAAATTGCCATCGTTGTTCACCCAGCAAGAGATCCCAGTGGACAAAGCGGATATCGCTACCCAAGAGGATGTAGATAGATGGCCACATTTAAGTAACTATGTACAGATYATGTCTCCTGATTCTAGAATCGAGGTTGGTCTTCTTGTCGCTAGTGATGTCCCGGAGGCCTTAGACCCACAAGAAGTAATCCACAGCCAGTACGGTGGTCCATATGCAACTAGAACAAAAYTAGGATGGACAATCAATGGACCATTGAAGCGATGTCAAGAATCTCCTCGCATTTCTAATTTTCTGGTCAAGGCAGACGTACAGTTGAATCAGATCATGATAGACTTCTTTAACCAAGAATTCAACGATTCTATCAGTAATCACAGAACTGAGATGTCTCCGATGGAGCGCCGTTTCTTAACAAGCGTCGAGTCGTCGGTGGAATTAAAGAACGGTCACTACCACATCAATCTGCCTTTCAAGAATCCAGAACTCCACTTGCCCAACAATAAGCCTCAAGCCATTYCACGTGCCAAATGGTTAAAGAAAAAGTTCACCAAAGATCTCAAGCTGCATCAAGATTACAAGAACTTCATGTCCGATTTGCTCTCTAAAGACTTTGCTCGTAAAATCCCACTTCACATGTTGAATCAAAGTCAAGGAAAAATTTGGTACTTACCTCACCATGGCGTATATCACCCACACAAGCCGGAAAAGGTACGTGTTGTCTTCAACTGTTCTGCAAAGTTCCAAGATATGTYACTCAACGACCACTTATTGCAAGGACCCGATCTCACGAACACACTTCTGGGCGTTCTTTTTAGATTCCGCCAAGAAAATATCGCGCTAATGGCAGACGTGGAAGCAATGTTYCACCAGGTTAGAGTACCGGAACAAGATCGTAATCTTCTACGCTTCCTGTGGTGGCCACAAGGTAACATTGATCAAGAATTGGAAGAGTATCAAATGAATGTACACTTATTTGGTGCAGTATCGTCACCAAGTGTCRCCAACTTCGCCTTACGTAAAACTGCTCTAGACAACAAGCAAGATTACAGTCCCAGCGCAGTCAGCACAGTTCTTAACAACTTTTACGTGGATGATTGTCTCAAGTCTTTGCCAACCATTCAAGATGCAATTACRCACTCCAAAGAATTAAGTGAGCTCTTGTCGAAAGGAGGTTTTCGCCTAACAAAGTGGGTTAGCAACAGTCGTGACGTTATCAGTACTATACCAGAATCTGAAAGAAACAAAAACATCAAAGAACTGGACTTAGCTAAAGACAATCTGCCCATCGAAAGAGCGCTAGGTGTGAACTGGAATATCGAACAAGAAAAATTTGCCTTCAAGATCAATCTCAAGGAACGCACTCCGTCAAGAAGAGGTTTACTATCCATGGTTAGCGCATTGTACGATCCATTAGGATTTGTCTCACCATTCACATTACAAGCAAAGTCCCTTTTACAAGATTTGTGCAGACTCAAGCTAGATTGGGACCAAGAGATACCAATAGAACACCATCAACAGTGGCAAAAGTGGTTAAATGACCTACCAAAGCTTGCACAATTCACAGTCGAAAGATGCTAC